AAAAAAAGAAATAAGGACAATATCTTTTCGAGGGCTCGGATTTGGAGTAGAGGACTTTATTATCCTTTAGGTCAGAAGGGAACAGCCTAAGAGTGGATGTATTCTAGCCTGGCCAATTTAATCATATTTTGTACGGATTATCCTCTTTTCGCGTAGGTCTATGTTTATTTGCATGCCCGGTTCCCTCCGTCTGCCCTTTTCCTACCTGCTGCTCTGCCCATGTATGCTTGTCTGCACGTCTGTGCAGCTATCCTTTTGTGCAGTCATCCAGAAGTCTGCATGTCTTTGAATGCTTGCGCCTCTGTCTGCGATGCAGTTTCAGCATGTTTTAGTCCCAACGGCAACGGCGGAGACCATCGATTCGACCGCCTCGAAAGCTCTGGAATGTCTGCATGGCATCGCGATCACATGAAAAGCAGGCTCATTAGGCAAATGCAAGAAAATAGCTTTTTGGACCGCGAGACCGGGCGACTCACGAGCGTAAACAAACTCGCACACACAAATGCACATACAATCGTCCACATATCTCCGACCCCCACTCCTCTGCACACAGACGCGTCCACATGTCCCTACCACCAATACGGCCCCTATTCTGTTGGTTGAGTTTATATGCTTTTTTGCCGGTGCCCAATCCTCTTGGGGGGCATTATTACGGCCAGCTGGGTCGTTTGTATGTCCTTGCTTGCGTGGACGGCTGCTCAGGCAGTCGGAGTTCAGGGGGCAGAGATTAAAACTAATAAACGAATAAAGGACGCATGTATAAGCATGTGTGTATGTGTGTGTGTGTGTGTGTGTAGGTATGGGTAAGTTGTGTATGCGTGTGCGTATGTGGGTGTGTTTGTTTGGGCGCGACAAGCCGGAAAGGGGAGCGGAATGGGGTGGAAAGAGAGAATTGAGCCCCTGACGCGGGCTGGTAGACGACAGTGCGCCATGGAGTTGGGCAAGTCAATCTATCTTGACAATGTGAGTGTCCGTCAGGCTCAAGGTGCAAAAGTGGGACTCGCTTGCAATGACAGGCAGTCATACCCGAACAGGTTTGGGCCAAAATCCACAATAAGCTTTTGTGTGCATTTGTGAGTATCTTTTATGGGCTTAATGCATTGTTCTACGTTTTGTACACGATACGTCTATGGCCTTTAGTGTGTCGTGATATGGTGTGTGCTTTGTTGTATGATTTGCTCTGATTATGATTGGTGTTGCCCAACGTTTCACGTGTGGTGTCTAGTGTAGTGTCGGTTGGGTGGGATGAATTGCGTAATGTGTGAGGTGGGTACGGTGTCTCGGGTGTGATGCATGCTGAAAGGTGTGTTTTGTGATTCGCTTTGTTTGTGGTGTTTCCCATGCATTGTGCTGTATGAACTGGGTTATGTATGGTGGGGATATTGTGAATTGTATTGAACAAGGTGGCAGTATTTCTGCTGGAAATAGTAGAGCATTCGCTAACCAACATGTTGTGGCTTCTGGTATGGTCGCAGTATCCTTTCGTTGTTTTCGCAACTTGGTTATGTTGGTAGGAAGATTTGGAGGAACGCATCTAGTCCGGAGTCAGCATGAATCTTCCAATAAAGCCAATCGACAGCTGGTCAAGAAGAATCCTCCGTCGTCTTCTGGTGGAACCGACCTTCGAATCTCTTCACCCAACACCTCCACTCGAAATGGA